AGAAGTTTACAACAGCATGCAGCAGCCGCTTAGAAAGCTTGTACATACATACGTGCTGAGCAGGTCGTCCGGGAAAATTGGTCCGGACTGGTGGACGAAAGAGCTCTCAAAAGCCGGACTGTCGAGCAGACGCCTTGTTAATAAACTTGTAAAGAGTAGATTATGCACAAGTCCGAGATAAGTAAGGTTAAACCCGAGTCTTGCAGAAAATTTTGCAGCAAAGGGGAAGCCTGCCATGAATTGTAGGGACTCAGGTGCATATTCGCGTGGAATCCTGTAGCCTTGGCATTCATGAGCGATATGCTGGGCAACTGGTAGGTTAGGTCTTCGAAGGGATTAAAATTAGCTGTTGTGGTTATAGCGTAAAAATTCTCTAAATAGTTTTGGGGAACAATTGGTAACATGTATGTATGTACGTATAAATCTAGCTTGTTCCGGTTACGTAGTCCCGTTTTTGGGGGAATCGATCGCCTTGAATGGCGACGGGTTCTGACCGGCTATTCCGGGAAGCCTTAAAATTGTCTTCGACCCTCATTGCTGAATGATAATGACCTTATGCCAATTTATGTCTAATAAGTCCGCTTTCATGCTCAATATTTGCAGTTAAATATTGTGGCTGAAAATCGGTATTTTCTTTTCAATCGTCTAAATTAAAAATAAATATTTTTATCATATCAAATCATGTGCAAATATGTATGTATTTATTTCCCAAAATTGCATAAATAAATATAATATGCACGAATTCCTACAACTTGGAATTATTTCAAGTGAGTGCGCACAAAATGCCGCCGCATTCATTAATAACAACAAATGACATACAGAAAAAGCAATATTAAAAAAAAAAAATGCATTAACAACCAACCAACTGTGACAACCTATAAATATTGAGGATTTCTGCCAAATCATAACTGCACAAATGTACGTATTTAAAGAGCTTCCTTATTGTATGTCTGCGTTTTGTTTTTGTAAATGGTCATATTTCGCATTTCCACATTTTTTTCTTGGCGATTTGTATATTTTTCACAAATCTACATGCTTACATACATGCATATGCACATACGTATGAGAGTCCGCATCAAGAAAATGTCGATAATTGCATGACGTGAAAATGGCACGGATATGCATACAAGTGTACAGATGTACTTATAAAAATACTGCATGTTTACAAGAAAGAAGCCGCCTGACAGCCAAATAGCTTGCGTATTTAAAAAATAAAAAGAGAAGAAACAAAAACAGAAACCTCAAAAACTAAATGCATTTTTAATGTGCGACTGTAAATATTTCAATACGTCTGGGTTGTTTTTCACTTTGGTGTCACCCGGCCCTTATTAAGCTGAGTGCTATCTACTAATTAATACTGCGGAGAGTATACAAAGTAAAGGTATGTGAACAGAAGGCATACAAATTCACGCTAAAGTTCACAAAAAAAATACACTCCAATTAGCGCTTTGAGTTTAATCAGCTGGAATTTAACAATAAGCGCGCTGAACTTTGCATTTCGCAATCGTTTTTCATTTTGCGTTTAAATATGCATTCACAATGCGATAAATGAATGAGCAAGCAAGTAGATCTTACAATTAAATATGTACTCGTACATTCATATGTATGTATGTATGAACTAGGCTTGATCCGCGTAATAAAACGCAACGCTGCAGCTACTTTAAATGAGCCATTCGTATCAGTGAATTGATGAATGAAGCGCATGTTCTAATTATAAACTGCAAATGAACGAGAGATTATTGAATTTGCATTTATGAGAAGAATAAGGAAGTGATGTGTGGAATGTCTGTGCGAAAGCGTATGCAAATTATATTTTTGTAACATTTTTACACAATATTTGTAGAATTAAATTTAATCTAGCATGGTATGCTGGTTGGACGGTACCAATGGGGTATATGTTGCAGTATATTTTTCCGTATAGTGAGGCGTCGATAAGGCAAAGATGTCGCAACCACACCAAAGTTTTTACAAAAATGTAAACAAGTTGTAGTGTCGATTACTTGTCTTAACCTCAATTTAACTTTAATCAGTTAGAATTAATGTGCCAAACCACACATAATTTAATACAATGCGTATTATGACATTTATATCATCGTTATGTAATAGCTGTCTCAGTACGAATCCGATATCGAAAATAGATTAGTAAAGCACTAAGGTGGTTGGCTACTACTTTGGGTGCGCCTCCTCTAAACTAATGTAACTACTTCCATCTTTTGCAAAAATGTTTTGAAAACTAGAAGCTTTTCAGGTAGACTTGAGAATGGAAAACCAATTTTTTATATTCTCTGAACACTTCCAATGAACTGAAATAATATGTATAACGATCTGTTTTTCATAAGAACCGCCAATTATTTCAACGCACAATAAATTTGCCATATCGCTAGCTTAGAGTGAAAAGTTGCTAAGTCCGAACTTTAAATTTTTACAGAAAGAAATAAAAAGTTTTCAAAGTCAACTTTTTGAAGCACTGGTTTTGCTAAAAATTTCATACAAGTTTTAGCGTATCCCAAGCTATGAAAACTCGAAGCGAATCAAACTCCATAACCATATTTTCTGTGATTTCGGACTTAGCAATTTTGCCTATCACTGAATAGAAACGGTTAGTATAAAAAAGCTAGTTCGATCTTTTAGCAAACGATGCATTTTTAATTATTCTTGGTTCTTGAATCAAAATATGTATATATATATATTTTTTTTTTTTTTTGAGAAAGTGGATTTAGCAACTTTTCAGTCTAAGCTAGCGATATATTTCATTGTATTCATATGTACTTATGTATGTACATAAGATCTCATTCTCTGATAAGTTTCAGTTCAAAGGTACATAAATACTTAGCGGGAAATCGTCAGCTATGAACTGTCGAATTCAGTGTAGCTTAAAAATATTATTTGTGCCTACTTTTGTCATTTAGAGCTCAGCTCGGATTATTAGAAACAAAAAAGATTTTTGAGAATATTAGGTTACAAGGATTTGCCTCATTGAGGAGTATACATATCGCTAGCTTAGAGTGAAAAGTTGCTATGTCCACTTTTTAAGAAAATTCGTATTTTGACACAGGAGTATAGAGAAATTAAAAATGCATTATTTCGAAAAAGATAAAGGTACTCGTTTGGTTATTCTCGTTTATATTCAATGAAAGGAAAATTTGCTTAGTCCAAAAGAAGCACCGAAAATCCGATACGTAAGGCCAAATAGTATTAAATCTTTTAATAACAATCGAATCCTTCTGAGTCGTGTGAAGTTGTACTTTGCTTTAAACAGACAAAATACTTGAAGAAAATGGCTTTTCACTCTAAGCTAGCGATATGTATAGATGCCTAGAAAGTGAAGAAATATTTAAGTTTTCTTACAACCTAGAATTTCATAGGTATGCGTCTTCTCCTGTTTCTGGAACAATAGAATTTAATACTTCTACTTCCTACAGAAGCACATAAAATTTAAACCATAACAAAACAACTCACCTTTCTTGCCCATCGGCTTCTGCTTGCTTATTTTGCAAGTCATCTTCATGCGACGACGGCGGCAAATCATCTGCCGTTGCCAACTCTTCTTTAACATTTTGCTGCTCGTGGTCGTTCACTTCACTTTTAACTGCATCATTAATTTCTGCATTTATGAACTCATTTGCAACAACATCACTTGCACTACCAACAACACTAGGCAACAGCCAACCGTCAGCTGACTGCGCTGCTGCTTCTGCCGCTGCCGGTGCTGGCGCGGTTAATGCTGCGCCATCATCGTCAACAAAGCCTTCCAGCATTTTAACAACGTCTGGCACAGCTGCATGCGGCGGCGCCACTGCGTCACCAACATTGTTTAATAACTTTTTCACTTTTTTATAATTCGGTAAAACTTCATCATGTGCCACTGTTGCCGTTGTTGCAGTTGCAGCAGCTGCAGCTGGTTTTTGCGGCACATCTGCTCGGTTATCGGCAGCTGCATCGGCTGCAGTGGGCAATGCAGCAGCCGCCGCTGCCACTGCTTCGTCACTACTTGCAGCTACATATTCGGCGTTCTCTGTGAGAAGCACAAAGAAAAGGAAACAACTGCAATGGAAAATTATGAAAATACATGAATTATTGGGCAAAGAAAATTATACATGCAGTTAAAAATGTATAAATGCACACAATGTGTGCTTAGTTTAATGCACTAGTGCTTACCTCGAAATACACGTCACCGATAGTAGGCTCAAATAAGCCAATTGCAAATTGAACCGCATAATTTATGCACATACATACACGCACGATTCAGCACTTCTGCTGTATTTTATTAAACTATTTGCAAGTTTTCTTTTTAATTTTTGAAAAACATTTCTTTTATTTCGTTGCGATAGCGGCGGGGTTTCTATTTGCTACTTTTCTTGTGTGCTTGGCGCTATCGCCCAGCGCTTTCACTGCACTTTTGCAACCGCTGGCTGCGGCAATTGCAAGCATAGCATCATATGACTTTTTGCCAAATTTAGTACGCGCGCAAGCAATTTGACGAAAGCATTTACTTTTCACTACAAAAAATTAACTAAATATCGGTGTAAAAGCTGTTTTTCTCGTGTGAAATATGAGCTGCGAGAACAAGAATCTGCAAAAGAATCAACTGCTCCGTCGTCCGACAAGAAAGCGGAACTGCAAAACAAATTGAAAAAACAAGAAAATGAGAAACTGTCAAATAGTGCAATAAATGTCAAAATGCACCAAACCGTTTGGAAAACAACGAATACGCGGTGAAGCAACGTAGAGAAACAGTGCTGCTTCTTTACAGGGTAATTTAGCTTGCGAAAAGCGTTGGAATAATATGGGAAATTTAAAAGCACAAACAAATACACACACGTTGAGGAATTTGTAAACGTTTAAAAGAATAAAAGGTTTCAAAATTCAAACAATTGTGGTTACTTTTATTTCCACAGGTATTTTTACGTTCGTGGGTGTTTACGTTGTTCCCCAAAAAATGCCGCCAAAAATCTTTATTCAGTGGCCTAATTATCCTTAATCTGGCAGCTTCCAAACAGCTGTTTGTTTTTTCCGCTGCATTTTTGCAGCAAGTGCATTTTTGCTCGTTCATATTTTGAAATTCGAATTTTCCAGTTAATTGTTTAATCATGGAGACAAAAAACACACTTGTGCATTGGTTTCGTAAAGGATTACGTGTGCATGATAATCCAGCGCTAACGCTTGTGTTTAACAAAGCACTTAGTTCGCCTACACAATTCTGTGTACGCCCAATCTTTGTGCTCGACTCGGCGCTGTTGGAATGGTTGCGTGTTGGCGCAAATCGTTGGCGCTTCTTGCAACAAACTTTAGCTGATTTGGATGCACAATTGCGTGAACTGAATTCACAACTCTACGTAGTGCGTGGCACGCCGGCGACAGTATTTCCACGCATCTTCAAGGATTGGCGCATCAGCTTGCTTACATACGAGACAGATATTGAGCCATATGCACTGACTCGTGACGCAGAAGTGCAACGTTTAGCAAAGGAAGCCGGTGTTAAGGTAGATGCGTGTTGGTCGCATACCATTTATAATCCAGAGTTGGTGATACAACGTAATGGCGGCAGTGCGCCATTGACATATCAGAAATTTCTTAGTGTTGTGGAAAAATTGAAAGTGCCGTTGCCCGTGGCGACGCCGACGAGGTTGAGTGTGGAACATAAACCACCAAAAGATGATATGGAACAGAAGGATCCAAATTGTTATCTATTTCCAACATTGGAAGAACTCGTTAAGCGGCCTGAGGAACTGGGTGAAAACAAATTTCCAGGCGGTTAGTATGTATTTTGTAAATTTTGTAATTGTAATTTGATTATACTTAGTTTTATTTAATTTACAATCGCAGGTGAAACTGAAGGTCTGCGCCGCTTCGAGGCGTCGCTGAGCGATGAGTCGTGGGTAACCGCCTTTGAGAAACCAAACACCTCACCGAACTCAATTGAACCCAGCACTACTGTGCTCAGTCCCTATCTTAAATTTGGTTGCCTTAGCGCACGCTTATTTCATCAACGTTTAATGACTGTTTTAAAGCGGCATCCAAAACATTCCAAGCCGCCTGTATCGCTCCTCGGACAATTGCTTTGGCGTGAATTTTATTACACTGCCGCTGCTTCGGAGCCGAACTTCGATCGCATGATAGGCAATAAATTCTGCATGCAAATACCGTGGGAAAGTAATGAAGCGCATTTGGCAGCGTGGACGCATGGGCGTACTGGTTATCCATTTATCGACGCTATAATGCGTCAGTTGCGCCAGGAAGGTTGGATACACCATTTGGCACGTCATGCAGTGGCATGTTTCTTGACACGCGGAGATTTATGGATTTCCTGGGAAGAGGGACAAAAAGTATTTGAAGAGCTGTTGCTCGATCAGGATTGGGCATTGAATGCAGGCAATTGGATGTGGCTTTCAGCATCTGCCTTCTTTTATCAATACTTTCGTGTATACAGCCCCGTTGCCTTCGGTAAAAAAACCGATGCTACAGGCGCCTATATAAGAAAATATGTACCTGAACTCGCCAAGTATCCAGCAGGTTGCATCTATGAGCCTTGGAAAGCGTCACTGAGCGCACAGCGTGAATATGGTTGTGTGCTGGGTGAAGATTACCCACATCGCATAGTCAATCACGAGATAGTGCATAAAGAGAATATCAAACGCATGACAGCGGCATATAAGGTGAACCGCGAAGTAAAGCAAGGCAAAAATTCCGATAACGATGGCGGCAAAGGCAAGCGTAAAAAGGTAGGAAGTAGCGCACAGTTGACAAAAAAACCACGTATATGATACGAAAGGATTTGTAGTATTAACAATTAGCGTAAAAAGTAGCTTTAAGCTGTTATACTTTGTGGTATATTTGTTAAGTTTATTAAAAAAGGTATATTAATTTAAGAAGTGATTAATCTCAAGTCATTTACAATGTAACCAAGGCATATTAATGTGCCTTGAATGTAACTTACAAATTTGAAAAATCTACAGCTCATCACGAGTGCATTGCCTTATTTATTTCTCAAACGCGCAGATCTGCATGTCATCCGGTTTGTCCATGTCTTGCGGGTCCAAGCGATAACGATAAGTTGAATCGCGCAGCATACGCTGTGGCATTATGATCGTAATGCCTTTAAATTTGAAAACGTTATTGCGTACTTTTGGTATGGGTGGCAGTTGCCTGCGTTCATTATCACGAAAGGCATCAATATCCACGGTGCCGTGCTTCTTTTCTTCTTCCTCTTCCTTAGGAAAGGCATCAATGTCGACGGGTGCCAGGCAAATCCTCTCTTTGACTGCAGTTTCGTTTCCAGCGCTAATAGATTTTTCCGGCACTACAAGCTCTAAATTCTCATCACTGATTGCGTTTGTGGGCAATGCAACAAATGCTTTTACCACAAATTCCTTTGCTTCCTCCCGCTCTCTTGTTGGCGTGTGTGGCTTATCATTCGCAATCGGCATCAAACTCCGGCCGACATCGTCATTGCCCGCCGCTGCTAGCTCAGACTGCGTTTGCATTTCCGGCTTATCTTCGTACATCATATCATCGCCATAGGCATCTATGTCTACAACTGTGGGAATCTCTTTTATCAGCGGCAAAACCAGCCTGGCGGCTATATTGCTTGGCAATTTTTCATTATTGATGCGATCCACACGATCCATATGCTCCATGCGCTCCTCGAAATCCATTCGTCCATAGCCGCCGTTTACATCAACGATGGTTACAGCTGGCAACGCATTTTCTTTGATTGTCGGTTGAGACCTATTGGCGGTAGCATCACCGGACTTTTCCTTCTTGTTGCTATTCTCTACCACTTCCGGTTCGCTAAGAAATTGTGTCGCTGCGACTGGTACTGGCTCGCCGGAAAGCGGCATTTCTCGATTTCCGGAGTTCGGTTTTGGTGCCGTTGTTGAAATTGCGCGTGTCTGCGTTGTTGGCACGGCTGGTAATTTATACCTTCGAATCAGCATTTGGGCAGCAAAGCGTAGCTTGGACATACTCCTTCACAAATGAGTGGATTATCCAGCCGGAAACTGTTTTTATTTCTCCTTTCTCCCGCGTTTTTTAGTAGCGTGCTAATTTTTTGGTTTTCTTTTCAATGATTTCCACTACGCACGGTTATACAACAACTACAAATTTTTTAAATAAATCTAATTGAAAGCTGCTGGGATTTTGTTTAAACTTCTTTACAAAATGCTAGAGTTTTTCTATTCTTTCAACATAAAAAGCAATAAAAAGAAAAATAATCCATTGCAAGTAGATTGCGAGGGAAAAATTTTCTAAATGAGATCTTAAAGCCGGCACTCCTGTGCACCGGTAGGACTTTATGATGAAAGAAATAAAAAGAAAAAAATTCCATTGCAAGTAGATTGTGAGGGAAAAATCCTCTAAATGGGACTAATGATAAAAAGAAATAAAATGGAAATAACTCCATTGCAAGTAGTTCGTAAAGGAAAATTCCTTTAATGACATCGATCAAAGGGGAATGAGGACCTAATTTAATCGTATAACAGACGATCCTGGGCGACAGTTGTGTTTGCGATTTAGCTCTGCCTTCGTCGATGTATCGCAAATGTGGGCAGGTTTCAAGCAAAATTTCGGAACAGCAGCGTTGTAGTAAATCTAGGTTGTTCTCGCACTCGACTTCGGTTAGGAGCAGCTTCCCAAGCAGACTCATATTAAAATGTGCTCTGGCCTTAAGACCAAAAGTGAATGGTCCAAGCGTTTTGTGGCGTAATGCTGTTTATTGCTGCCGAAAGGACCTCCACGGTCCATAGGAGCTCCCCTAAGCAACAGGGAAGTAATGATTTATGAACCATCCGTGAGGATGTGATCCAGATCTACATCGCAAAATCACTGACCCACACATTGTACCGACAAGACATCAACTGGAGTTCAATCCCCACCTAATACAGAGGAAAAGCTTCAACCGCCTCAAGAGACTAGCCTTGCTTTTGCATAATATCAATGTGTTTATTGTAGCAGGTTATCCAGACTCGACTCCGACTTCCGCTTGCGAAGGTTCCCCGCATAACACGAACCACCTCTTCTCATGTGCCAGTCAACTCGCATGACCGGCCAACACATCTCTCCCTTTGGTAAGACACCGTCAGAGTAGCCCGTTTACTGGTCTTACCGTTATTTGAGCTTGCCGACAATTAGGGTTCGAACGAGACTATCGATATTGAGTGTATAAAAATGAGTACTGTAATATTCGATACCTTATTTGTTGATTTTACTCGATACTTTGCAAAGTACTCGTAGTATTGAAAACTTTTTAAAAAACACAATTTTTAAAGTTTTTCTAACATTGGCAACCCCATTTTCTTTGCTTATATGGATTACTATCATTCAATTTTGTCCATCATTTAAAATAAACTGAAATTGCTTGTAGTCTGTTGCATAACATACACCAAATAAGTATAAGTTTAATGGCCTTATTCATAAAAATAAAGTAGGTTTAAAGAGCTTAATAAAATTACATTTTCATACATTTTTCAGTTTACAAACCTTTTTTATTTTTTATGAATAAAGCCTTAAAGCCACCAGTTTTGCGCGACTGCAGTTCAGACGTGTTTTTCTTCGCTCCGCGCTTATCTGGCTTTTTTAAGCGTTCTTTGTGAATTTTAATTCGCTTTGTTAATGCGAAACTCATAATATACTGAGATAGTGACTCTTAATAATGTGAATTTCACTGACTCAATATTTATTAAATGTAAAAATATTCATACAATGCCTTGCCTTTGTGGTCAAAAAGTTGATCGTACACAATCTAAAGTGCAGTGTGCCGGGTGTAAAAACTTATTTCACCTCAAATGTGTTGGTATTTTCCAGGCCGATCTGGACTTCTTACTCTCATCTAATAAGCCGTTTCTTTGCAAAAACTGTATGGATGACCGTCGTTCATCTCTCCGCTGCCCTTCAACAACCGTTGGTTCGGGTGGGAGCACTAGTGCTAAAGAAGCTCTTAATTCAGACTCTCTAAGAGATGTCTCAAGTGATATCGCTACTGAGCATGACTTTCAATTGAAATCTACACTGCTAACTGTGGTTAAAGAACTTTCTGCTCTCAGGGCAGAAAATGCTCATATCTTGTGTTTGCTAGGTGCTTTGCATGAAGACAAAATGCAGCTAATAAAGAAAAGTGATGATTTGCATGTAGAAGTTCGTGTTTTGCAAACTAAGCTAAGCGACAGGGATGCCGACGTATCGTCGTTGACTGCGGAGCAGTGTTGCCAGAACTTTTTGGGCCGACCGGCTAGATTGGCAAAAAAAAGCGGCTAAAAACGGCTAAAATATTTTAGTGAAATTTCACATAGACTCTGGCAAAAAACGGCTAAAATGTTTTAGTGAAAATTCACATGCTTTATTTAAATAAATCGCAAGAAACGAAAGACTAGTTAACACCATTAATTTATATCGAGTGTATATTCCTCATCATCAAATGAATCACTATTGTATATATCACCTGAATTCATTAATTTTAAGAGATCGTCATCTACAGTAAAATTATGGCAGCATTTTTCTTCACGTTTTAAACCGTATCTTATATATAAAATAGCGTTTAACGTTTTAACGCACATTGGATTTCTTTGCTTAGTTTTTATTATATTCATTGAACTAAATATTCGCTCTACTTCTGCATTACTTATAGGCAAAACAAGAAAACTAAAAACTAGGTTGGAAAGGTCAGCAAAAGGGTTTTCTACTAGGGCATTTCGAAATTGATAAACTTCGGCCCAAAATTTTACAGTTGAGTCTAAATTACTCCAGGTATGTAACGTTAACCGTTGCCATTGCATCTCTATGGATGTTATTTCGTCGGCATTATATTTGTGTTTTTGTTGCTGTAGTTGAACAAATACTTTTGGTTTAATTACTCTTAATGCATTTCCAACCGAAAAAAGTCAATTTTTTTTAGTGTGGCAATATTTGTAGGGAGGCGTTGGCGTAATTCCTTTATTAAAGTGATAATAAAATAGCGACCATTTTCTCGGCTTCGTGGTCAAAAGCGTTTGAGCTTACTTTTGTTTTTAAATACTCTTCAAAACTGTGATAAAACTGAGGAAATGGAGCAAGGTATGGTTCCAACGGGGAGCATATAGGATCAAATGTGTCCGCGCTAATAACCACTAGGGAGCATAGATGCGAAAGTAAAACATTGAGTTCATTAAAAATCTTCATTGGGTCTGCATTATTGCTTTCGAACAACTTGTTTACTTTTTGCACCTGAAAATTAGGCAAATAGTAAAATCGGCTAAAAACGGCTAACTTTTTTTTACAAACCGGCTAACAAATCGGCTGCCGGCTAGATCGAATTTTCTCCGGCTAGTTGCTATCAAAACCGGCTAAATCTAGCCGGAAAACGGCTAAAATGGCAACGCTGCTGCGGAGATAAAAAGCCTTCGCGGCATTGTTGACAACTTTACTGGCCTCAATGCAAACCGCGGTATTGCTGTTAACAAATGTAAGGAGATGATTGACAATGAAAATCAATCTCTTTTACGCTCTTCTCCATCATACCCAGCCGCCGGCTCTCTGCATGGGACTAATGTTACTGCTGCTCATGCTGAACAGTGTTCACCTACCCCAACGGAAACTCCCTCATCTGCTCCGTCTACTATGTGCACGGTATCGAATGCTGGTCTGCCCCCCAATGGGTCTGCTAAGCGCATGGCGCTCAATACCAATGTTAGCTATGCTGCTGCTGCTGCTGCTGCTGCTGCCGGTACTAACTCAATTAAAGCTAATGTTA